TGCCATCATTGTTTTGACCTCGCTACCGACTTCGTGGGGACCATTGGGTAAATGGGATTGATTTGACGAAGATCACGGACTCCGAGGATGTTATCGGGAGGGTATTGCAACAGGCCGGACGACCCCACGCCAAGCCGGACGCCGACACAGACATGACGACGGGCGATGCCAGCGCGACGCGGAGAGGGGCAGGGCAACAGACAAGGGAATGGAAATGGAAATGGGTCGGGCACTGGGAATGGGAACGGGAGCCGAGGCAACCAGAGTTGCTGGAATTGCGGGCGGCCCGGACACCGGAAGCAATGGTGCCCCGACGCCGAGAAAGGAATCACGTACACTGATCAAGAGAAGGACGAGAACTATGCTCGTGCTATGCGATACCAGGCCCAGAATGGCGGGCAGAACGGCCGGCAGGCGGCACATATGGCCCGAGAAGACGAAGAAGACCTTGTGTTCATGGCTTTCGGCCGGGAACGGCTCACGCGGAACTCATGGCTGCTGGACAGCGGCGCCAGCACGCACATCACGAATGACAAATCCTTATTCCACACGTACACGGCACTCGACAATCATCAAATCTTTGGTATTGGAGAACTCAGGGCACCGGGAGAAGGAACTGTAAAGGTACAGTTCAGGATGGGTACACAAACCAAGACAGTGACACTACTATGTGTACTGTATGTGCCCGACTCACCCCACAACATCATCTCGATGGGACGACTCCACCGCGCCGGTTATAATATCGACTTCGGCGTCAGCAGGCGACGTCAAGATCACAAACCGGACAACCGGACAGCGACTAGCCCATTGCTGCAATGTGGGCAATGTCTTCGCATTCGGGAATGTTACCCCGGTCTACCCACCCAACGCGGACGACGACGACGGCTATTGGACTGCACCCAGACTGCAGAGCAAGGGGGAGCAACGGACCGATGGACTGCATCCGGAGATCAAGCCCGGATCGCCGACCCCGCTTACCCCACCGCTTATCGCGCCAAGACCGCCCGTCTCCGCCGCACCCAGCACACTCACCCCCCATGTCCTCGCGCCAACCCAGTCCAACGCGCGACTCACCTCACATCGCACCCAAGGCGATTAACCTGGACATCACAACGGACAACATCGTGATTGGCCCGCGAACCCGAAAATACACGAAGCCCGGATCACTCCTTGCCATCGAGCAATCCGGAGCACTCGGCTCGACTCGGTTCGAGGGGGAGTGTTGAAGATATCATGGCGGCGAACACGAGTCATCGCGGAGAGGATGATGTCAGCGCCGGCCCATGCTCCGGCGCCATCACCGACGCTGCGGGCACTTTCTCCAAGTTTCCATTGACTCATTTTTGTAGAATCTACTAGAACACTTAGAATAGTATAAATACTTGGCTGTTTCTCAGTAATAAACATTGAATTTGCATCTATTCTTTCAACAAGTAGGTGTTGAACAATGTCTATATCTGCATATGCAGCAGCTGCTTGAAGAGCTGTTCCATACTTGCCTGCCACTATATTGACTTTAGCACCTGCACAGAGCAGAAGTTGAACTGATATTGAATTATTGGCAGCACATGCTGTTTGGAGGGCTGTCCCATACTCCCCTGCAACAGTGTTTACTGTAGCACTGTAGTTGAGTAGTAGTGCAATAATGTCAATATCTTGCTGATATGCTGCTGCTTGAAGAGCTGTTCCATACTTTCCGGCAACTTTCTGTACATTGACTCCTGCATCAAGTAAGAGCTGAATGATCTCCTTATGCCCCCTTGAAACAGCACAATAAAGGGCAGTACCATAGCGCTCTGTAACAATATTCATATGACTCCTCTTGTCAAGGAGTAGTTGAACAACACCTATATGTCCATTGTTTACAGCTCCCACAAGTGCAGTTCCATATCTCCCAGCAACCACATCTGTCTTGGCACCTGATTCAAGTAACAGCTTGACCACATTATAATGATTGTTGAAAGCTGCAGCATGGAGTGCAGTTCCATATTCATAATGCTTAACTCTGATATATTTCTTAACTAAAAGCTGTACAATAGACTGATGACCAAGTCCTGCCGCAAGAATTATAGCTAAACCTTGCTTATCCATCTTGTTATTGACTATATACTCTGTTAGGTATACCATATTAGCAGCTGCTGCAATGCAGAGTGGTGTGTTCAGTTCATATTTCACCATATCCCAGGGTACTATATTCCAATTCTCATGAAGATAGTGAGAATTTGCTGGATATTGCTTTAGCCATTGAATTATTTCCTTTGCAAGTACCATCTCTCCTTCCCCTTGAGCATGCAATAGTATATACTGGGAATAATTCTCTAAATTTATTTGGGGATCTGAACCAGACGACTCTTTTCCATATAATAGCTCCAAGTATATCAGTAAGGCCCAAGTAATTTTAACATTCATTTGTGGAAAACATTCTGTAATGAAACTTTGAGCAGTATAATGTATCAGCTGAACAATGTTTGTGCTTTTATCCAGGGTCATGAGACCATGACACCATTCTACTAAACTTTCAATAGGTATCATGACTTCTGGACTGGGAAGTTTTGTCATATTTTGCTGTATAGCTAGAGCTGTTTGGAGTTCCAAAGCAGATAATGGTCTTTTTGCAAATGCAATCCAACATAAGGCTTCTTTTGCTGATTTTCTTGATATCCGCCGCATTGTCTGCTGATAGCTATCATTCAAGTTGTTTGGAGCATTTTCAAGCATATCATTTAGTTGTTGTGGTGTTTCAGCTAACATGACCTGTGCAACCTGCAGCTTAGCTAACAGAAACCTATTTTAGTAACTCAGCTTTCTGACATGAAGGGAGGATTATCAAGCATGATTACTTACATCCCTTCTGCTTTTTCAACAAGTTTCTGGATGATATTTTCTTTCTCCCCAGATATCAGCCTTGTAATATGGCAATTCTCATCCAGCTGAGACTTGATATAGCTACTTATGCAATTCTCATCCAGCTGAGACTTGATATAGCTACTTATGTCTTCTGTCTGAGCCTTGATTTCCAGTGGTATAACAGATGAGCCTATTGTGGAAATGTGTGGTCGGCACATCACTGCTAATTTTCCCTGTTTTCCTAGATGGATTTGTTCTATAAGCATGCCTTGTTTGGCCTCAGTATATTTATCCAAGGCATCAATAGCTATATAGAAAGCTGTATACTTAGACACAAGAATTTTCATCAGTAACTGAAGCTCATGTACTGAAGGCCTTGTTTTCTTGTTTTGATGCTCTAGATATAACTTGTGTGTAATTGTAATACTTCCTTGGTTGCTGATTAACTGTCTGCAAATGGCTCCTATAAGGTTCTGGAGTGTTTGAATTTCTTGGTCTTGATATCTGAGATATAGGTAAGCTACACCAACTGATTGACTGTTGGCTTTGTTTGTGTGAAGCAGATGCTCAATAATCTTAGACCTTTAAAAATAAGATCAGGACTATTTATGAGGTTGGCCAGATAGAGAGGGAATATATATACATGAGAACTGTTTTTCCAACACCAGCTGTTTATTCTTTAGATGAATATGTATAGGGATTTGGATTTACTCACGGTCACCTGTACACCAAAGTGTCTTCTCGGGACCTAATTCCCATTGGACAAATCCAGGGTGCTTTATTAGCCATTCTCCTGTGCCCATATGACAGCTTTCATGTATCTGCTGATGTTGAGGTGCAAAATCAATGGGAGAAAGCCACTCTAAGATCTTCCCATACTGATCATTTGGTCTTACATCATGACTAGAGCCTTGTCTATGACTTTCAGGTTGTGTTAGACATTATTCTTCTTGATTTAAAGTTGATTAGAAACAGTGAACACCTACTTGAAGTTGACAATTGGTCCATGCCCCACCCCACCTGTACCCCCTGGCATGTGCTCACTACCCATGCCGCCCACACCTCCATTGCCACCTTTCCCACCAGTAAGCCTTTGGAACCACACTCAGTTCTGAGTTGATAGCTGACATACCAGAGATGTTATACTGCAACACTGTTATAGCTGGCTGGATCTCCATCACTGGTCTTTGCAGAGGCTCGGAGTTGGCTGAGGGGCAAGATTGGTGGTTTGTAGCGTCGTGGTCGTTCAAGACAAGAAGCCGCTGGGCTGTGCAACTTGACTGTTCATATCATTTTTGCTGTGGGAGATCAAATACTTGTCCTTCTCTTTTCCCACCTCTGCTGCCACGTCCCGGCCTAGTAACATCAACATCCGGCGGCGCCTCGGGCTTTGGATAGCATATATAAAGTCAAGCCTCATAAAAAGTATTCTTATAACTACATTGCTTCTCCGCGAAACTGTGCCACTCGACCTCGGCGCCCGGGGCCCCGCGCGAGACAACACAGCTTCGCAGAAACGTGAACCGCCCGCCCGTCCGGCTCCAGCCCGAGATTTTGCCGGCTACCTCCACGCGCCGCAGCGCGCCGTTGCTGTTGATGGCCGACATTGCGAGGTGCTGCACTGCGGCGTCCGGCGCGCTGTTGCGCTCGAGGCGGACGTCCTCCCGGCCCGGCCCCGCGCCGGAGAAGACGAGCCGGTGGTCTACCTCGACATGCAGGAAGAACGATGCGAGGCGAGCAAAGCGCTGGAGGGGTTGCTGGATGGCGCTAGGGTGCTGTGAGTAACTGTGGTTTCAAAAAACCGGTTTCGAAACACGTGTTAGTTTTGAATGCCGTGGCCGGCCGACCCGGTTTCGAAACCGACACGTGATTCTCCGGCAAGCCCGGGCCCGGCTGTCAGGGCTTGATGCCCTCCCAATATCACCTGCACTTACTGGCGGAAGGCCGGGCAGATGGGTGTTCACGGCAGTGGGGCTCCACTGCTGCTCCAGTTGGCTTGGCACATAGTGTGCCTCGGGATTGTGATACCCGGCGCTGTCCCGAGCCGCCGACTGTCAGCGGACCCCCCCGGCCGGGCGGTTTCGAAACTGTTTCGAAATGGGGGGTGTTTCGAAACCGGTGTGAGTAATGTTTTTTGCATTACTCACAGCACCCTAGATGGCGCCGTCCGCCCGTTCCTCCCCGTCGCCCATTGTCTCGTCGTAGGAGAGAGTGGTGAGATTGGGGAGGCTGTCCGCGATAAGACAGAGCAGCGCGTAAATGGTGAGGCCCGGAGGACCGTGTGTCTCCACCGCTAGGACTGTCAGCGTGGCTGCATAGCTCCCGAGGCTGACAAAGCTTGGAAGGGCCGGATCCTCGTCCTCTTCCGGAATAATGGTGGATACCACGGCGTGCACCAGCCTCCAGGAGGTTTTGTCTGACGGCAGGATCGCTCTCAGCGGGGCGTAGATGTGTGTGAGCGGGAGGAGATTCACGGCGCCCAAGTCGGGATGCTCCTCGTAACACGGGATGACCAAGGACGTGATCTCCGCTTGCTCTATCCATACCGCATCAAGGTCTGTGATGTGCTCCCAAGAGTTAAGGTGCAGGTGCGTCAAGCGGAGGGGGCATCCGCCTCCCAGAAACTCGCCCAACGTTGACGGTATGTCTAAGTAACTTCTGTTGTCAATATCATTTAATACTGCTTTCAAGTTTCAACGCACCACAGAAGTTGTACCCAACCTCGAGTCGCGTGAGGTCCCTGCACACACGGAGCGCCCTGACCAGCTCCTCCGCCAGCAGCGCTTTCGTCGCGTCGCTCTCGAGCATGACATGCAGATCGAACACCAGCGAGTGCACCTTCAGCGCCAGTCGGGTGCTGGCCATCATCGTGCGACACCAACAGAAGCCTTGCGTAAAGTTGTGCTGGTCCAGAACAACGCGCGGGTACAAGCATTCCTCTGCAATGGCGCGGAAAAGGCTGTTGGCGCGCGAGAGGGTGGCCAGAGACGGCGGCGGGGCGTATCCGGCGATGGCGAGCACAAGTTCTACGGGGCCCGGGAGGACCACTGGCAAAGCTGGCCCGGGCGCCATGAGAGGTGAAGAAGAAAAGGAAGAGAAAAAATGATGTCACCGCCGTTACATATCGGCATAATTGCCGGCGGCACTTTCTGGCCGAGGCAAGCGCAAGCGATCAGTTCGTTGTTTGCCTTCTCCAGCCGTCACGCCGCGCCCTCCCTCGAGGATGTAGGAGGCCCCGGTGCAGCTCACGCCCGTATAGAGGAATTCGCTCCCGGTCGGATTGAAGTTGTCCCACGAGGCGCTGTTGCTGCCGGTCCCGAGGTTGATGCACTCCGAAATCGAGCCCGTTTCGCGGTAGTGCGCGACGAGCAGGCGGCCGCACTGCGCGTCCTGATATCCGCGGATCTCGAGTGCACTGGCGGACGTCGCCCGCCGCGAGGGCCAGCGCGAGCAGCGCAGAGAACTTGGAGAAAGCGTACATGTTTTGGTCTGTCGGGGGGTGAGCATGCGTAAAGGCCGGGGGGCGGAACTGCACTTCCTTGTTGTTTGGTGGGTTGTGAAACTGAAGGAAGAGCTGGTCACCGTTGCCTTTTTATACCCAGCGGCGCAACGAGTGCGGACCAGAACACATACTTACCGCGTTTAAGTTGAACTGATCTGCTGTGATCAGCATATGAAGAAGAAGTCTTGGCGGCGAGGCACTTGGTCCAAGCATCTATCCCAAACATCTATCGCACTTCTGGTGAGCGTTCCAGTTGTTTAATACTGTTTGATGAGTGGGCGTAATGCCCACATTCAATGGCTGATAACTACTCACTCAGCAAAATCTGTCGGCCAACTGCTGAACCCAAACGGTGAGCGGGGTGCGTGCAGGAACAGCGCAACCGTTGAGTTGCGGAGGCTGCAGTTAGGAGCATCAATAAACACGGAATCAGAAACATGTGACCGTAATTGAATGAACATCGCTCTCTCTCCGCGATGCTGCGGACAACAACAGTGAGCCGATAGCGGTAAGATCGATACCGGGTGTGGTCCAATGTCCATTTCTCCGCCCCGTTTAGCCAACTTTTAGCTGGAAATTGGGATCATGACCGAACCCGGTCAACCGGCCTCCGATGCGCGGCATGACGAACAACCCGGGGTTTGATGAAAAGATTCAAGAGCGACCGGATGATAAGATTCAAGAGCGGCTGGATGGAAAGATTCAAGAGCCTGAGCGGCTGAACGACTGGGAGCGTTGTCGGCTGGTCAGGGGCACGGCAAGTTCGTCACAGGAATAAATATGTGTGCCTGGCCCATTAGTCCTGCAGAAGCGACTCAGCGAAGAGATGACTGGCAAATGTGGAAATGCGCGTTGCATACTTGCTTTGTTTTGCGTCTTTCAGGTTAAGCATTGTCTTCCCCATGCTCTCCCCGTCCATCTCCACCCACACTTGAACTCACCCCGGGCTATACCCGCATCGAACACCCTTCCCTCCCCGCCCCATTTACCCACGACCCAGTTCCGCGGCAGCACAAGTGGCGCGTCTGTGTCGGCCACGACGTCTGGGCCCTCCCGGCGTTGCTCGATGCCGAAATGCGACGCGACGAAGATCACCTCCCATTCGCGGGAGGCAAAATGGTGCTTCATGCTACATGTAAGGTCGTGTGCAGTTCCAGACGCACTCATCTGGGAGAGCACTACACGCAAGGGAGGGGAGGCGATCCTTCTTGATGTCCGCGGGCAGACTGGCGACGTCCATGCTGTCGAAAGAACGGCTCCTCCTCGCAGTCCCGCTCTTTGCCCGTCTCGCGCGTCGCACTGGCAGGCGCCTGAATCAAGGCCAGCGCAGAAATGGAAGTAGGAGCCTCGGAGCAGAGGACGGGCATCGGCGGCAGCGGGAAGTGCGAGGGGTCCGGCAGTTTGTGCGCTGAGTCTGACGTTGACGCTCCGGCGGTGCAGCTGCGCGGGTGTGTGGGCTGTCGTGTCACTTGCTTGGAGATTCCGCCGCTTGTCAGAGTTGTCGCCGGCAGCTAGTCCACGTACGAGTCGTAGCACGTGCGCATCTTGCCGTACTGCGTCTCCACTGGCAGCTCGTAGAGCGACTGGCGGACGATGCTCAGCTTTCTGTGTCTTCACTAGATATAATTCAGAGGAACACAGAGGGGAAGGGAAGTACCCTACCCTTCAACTTGCCAGTGAAGTTGTTCTCAGGCTCTTACTCGGCGCAGAAGCCTTCGACCAGCTCGGCGACGCGCTGCTGCCATTGACTCCGACGGGCACGGGGATGGGGGCAGGGTGGGGCCCGAGGGCTGCAGTGTGGGTGGAGACACGTCAGCGCTGGCGGTGATGAGAAGGGAGGAGACGCACGATATTTGTACTAGTGCCCCAACATCATCTTATGTACTAGCACCCGCGTGACGCCGCGTCGTTCTCGTTCGTAGCCGTTCTGTGGGCGACTGCAACGCAAGGCCTGTCGCGGCGCGTTGTTGTGGGAAGGAAAGAAAAGAAGATGGTTCCCGTGAGTGACGTCAGTTGATGGGCGCCTGATCGGCAATCACCTTACGCTTCTTTCCTTTTATCCCGCCATTTGCCCGCCATCCGCCATTGCCTCGGCGCGTCAGGAGACGGGGAGCAAAGGCGCTGGTAAGCGGCACTACATCCCTGTCGCGCGTGTCCCCCCATTCCTAGAGGCAACTGAACGGCGCCGGTTTCTCTGACCCGCAGGAAGAAGGACAAGAGGAGCGCACGCCGCGGAGGAGGGCCTGCTGGATGGCCTCCCTGTCCTGCATTGATACTGAAACTGACAAAGCTCAGCGTGTCGGGAATCCCTCCACAAGAATGCACCACAACAGAATCCCGCGACTCGCAAAGTCCTCAGTGACCATGGCAGTCGTCTGCAAGGCCTCATTTGATGATTGAATCTTGATTGCGACACTCACCCGGCGGGCCGTCACCGTCACGGTTATGCGGCTTCTCGTCGTCGTCCCGCTTCAAGTTTGTTCAAAGTGGTCGACCGCGGTTTATTTGTATGTTAACGTTCAATCGGACTCGCACTGCTTGATACTGATACTCACTGCGGGGAGGCCAGCGCTAACGAGGTCTCCACTGCTCATAGCTGGAAGCGGACAAGGCTCCGGAGAGAGAGAGGGGGGTATGTGAAGAGAGACTGTGGGTGACTCAGAGCGTTGGTGACAAGGAGACGGCGGTGGAAGCTTCTGGAAGAATCTCACGTCGGGCACACACCACACATTGCTTCCAAGTTTTGCAACCTCCGTCCAGAATGGACCCATGTGCAGTTTGTGTGCTTCCCGCCAGCCCCTTGCATTCACTTAGAGTTTCACAAAACCTTGGAACGGGATACAACCCGAATCGTATGGCCAAATGCTGACTGATTCAAGTTGTGTGCAACGATCAAGCATCCAGAGCATTATGACTCTGCTCTAGTCATCGTGTTACCAATCTGTGGGCGTCCTTGACACGAGTGGCCACGCACAGCCCCGGTCGCGGGGGCTATATAATGCGACCGTCTCTCTCGGCGTCTTTCTTCAGGTTGCTCCCAGGTCCTCAAACCTTCTAGCCCACTTGAGCTCCACAAATCAAGTGATGTCTGCGTGCGTGGCTCTGCTGCTTTGGCATTCTCTCATGACCATACAATCTAGCATCATCGACCTGCCCTCGGTGCCACAGGAAGAGTACTTGTTTCCAACGACAGCCCCGGGTCAACTTGAAGCCCAGGACATCAAGTCAGACATCTGCTTTCCTGAGGCTATCTGGGCAGAGTCCACTGAGGGCGACTCCACTTCAGCTAGTCTTCCAACAGTTCAACTTCATTCACTACTTCTCGCGCCTGCTGGTCACTTCAAGGTGGACCTGTCGCTGCCAACAGACCCCCTCACCACTCTTCGATCTGATTCGATCAGTGGGAAGCTGAACGATCCTGCATGTTCTCTGCCCATGACCGGGCTGATGGTGCAAATCAACAAGCCATCAAATCTAGAGTTGACAGTGCATGTCACGCTCAGCAGCTTGCACAGTGAGCTCGAGCACTGCCCCATCATTACTGTTGGGGATGTTCTCATGGAGATATACTCCGAGCTACACAAGGATGATGAGAATGTTCATATTGAGCTTGCCGCAGCAGTCAAGGCCGGAAAAGTCCATGCCAACTGGCCCCAGCTGGCCACTATAAGAGCTGCTGTGTATCGTCGGACAGAATTGCTGCAGAAGGTTGGCCAGCCCCTTGGCCCGGTAATATCCTATAATTCTGCTCCCTGTCAAAGCACTGATCAAGCAACAGAGTAATGCCAAATGCAAGTATGTTGATCTATTGAAGACGGATACAATGTTTGCTGGACTGATAGCCATTGATGACAAGAAGTTTGACATACCTCAGTTCAAGTTGCAGCTGAAGAGCAATAAATAGTATATGATTGTTGTTCAGATATGTGGGTTTATTAGATTGACTTGATCACATACTAGTGGTGAAATAGTGGGCACCAACCATGTATTGATGTGTGTTGTCAAATCATTGTAAGTTGAGGCAGAGTGAGCAGTACTGGGAGAAAATTAAGCTTAAAAAATATCAGCTAGATAGCAAAGAAATTTAAATCCAAAAATGTTTCTCAAATTATTACTAGGCAGATTTCGTGTGAATGTATGCACGTGTTTGGCATCAGCTTTAGCAATTTATTTACTCCACATTTCCACTTTTGGGACCACTGCTATTGAAAAACCTAATTTGGTAAAGTCTAATTGGGACACAAAGCTGTAAAATCAAGATTTTATATCAAGTGCCATAAACAAGTCCAATCTAAGGCTATTTGTGATGTTGTTCTTGGCTGTAATATCAGTATAGACGGCATGCAGACCTTGATATTTCATAAACTCATGAATAAAATTGGCACATTCAGTCTGCAAAAAATTGTGAAACAACATTTGAAGCTGGGGCTATGCCCCAGCTAGTTGTAGTAGAAAGGAGTGTCTATACTTATGAAAAGAACCAAGGGGGGCACAAGGGGCTTTTTTTGTATTATAATGTTGATTTACCATTGTATTTTAATCAATTCGATGATGCACTGCAAGCGTGCTTGTGAGTGCGAGCAAACCCAAAATAAGTCAGCAAACACAACTCCCAGCAGCCATAAGCTAAATAAATGTGCAAGGGTCAATTGATACCCAGGACTTGGAGGGCAGGTGGTGGTGGTACAATGTGTGGTAGTGTTGGGTGTAAGTGATGCAATGGCGAGAGCGATCGGGGACAGTGCAAGAGCTACGGCGAGGGCTTCGGACCGGGCAGACATATCGGCAATGAAGGGCAGAACTTACTTAGATTATAAATGTGGGGAGCTAGAAAACCTTTAAAACTATGGAACACAGGGCTTTATATGCTAGAAATGAAATGAAATGACTCCGAGGGTGAGTCAAACTGAGTTCCGGGGCCGTGCCCGATGAGTCAGTTGGCCGGCGACACGTCGCCGTCGAGCACATGAGTGCGTGAACACGTTTGATGTGTGTGATGCCGCGGCACACTGATGTGATGGCAGTTTCCGCGACCAGCCATGTTGGCGGCTCAACATTGGCACAGCCCGACAGCCGTGACATGTCTGACAAACTTGGGAATTTGTCAGTTCTTCCCCATTAGGGAATTCTGGCACCTAACGGCCGAAAATTACCTTTTTGGGACGAGTTTGGGGCCAAACCTTGCCCCAGTGTGGGACTGGCGTAAAATATTCGTCAAAATAAGGTGTGTGTGATGCGTGACTGTCGAATTGATTAAAATAGGTCAGTATGTCTTTTTTCTTACTGTTCTAGTTATTAGATCATAGTCTGAGTAAGAGAGGATGTAAAGAGAAGAAACTCTAACTGACTATATACTATGTATCAATGACATGATAGATTGGGACTGGTACAGTGAGAGAAGCAATAGGGTTCCCCTGACAATTTTTGTGAACATTCTTGAGCTCTGTATTGAGTTATCCTACCCACTTATAGCAGCCAGGCTAATAATCTCATAATCTCTCAGTTGATATATTGATGTTAACATTTTACCATTTATAGAATATTGAGTGAAGCACAGATTATTAGTAGTAATGTGAAGGTTTAACAATTTTTAGAAATTAGCTACAGAAGAATATTTCACACTATGCCAGTGACACATACTTATGAAATAATTTACCATTCAGTGTAGACAAAAACCTCAGCTTCAGGGACTAAACTGTCAAACTGAAACTTCAGTTCTGTTATGTTTTAAAACTTCAGTTTCATCACCCAGTTTGGTAATCCCTTGTTTTTATGGTGAAATGGTCTTCATCTCAGCAAAACTTAATAAACAATGAAAATGATCTTATAGGCATGGCTACAACAGAAACCCAAGGTTGGGCTTTGGGATTTCCCAGGACCGAGCCTAAGCCTAAGCCCTGATCTTGGCCAGGTTCGGGCTTGCCAATGCAGGCTGAGCCGGGCTTCAGTTTCAAGCCCACCCCACCTGTGTGTCCCAGTCCCCACCGTGAGTTATCAGGTCCATTGCGCCGCATGGGACCCGATAAGTTCACGGTGTTTTTATCGTTTACCATAATAATGAATAATTCCTAGATATAAGGATGAATAATGTTGAGTTCTAACACTTGTTTTTCGTCTAAGTCCATTCTAGTATGAATAATGATGAACAATTTGAGGGGTATAAGACTCGGACTTGACAACTAACACTGGTATTTGATGTCACAAAGGGTTTTCTTAGAAATTGTAATGTAGATATATTATGCTATGAATAATAATGAATAATTGAACCTCCTAGTGACTTGTGTTCAGTTCAGCGCCTGAGTCACGCAGTTACACAGGGTCACATAGTGTGACAAATTTCCAAAAAAGGAAATTTTCGCCATTTGACAGGAGAATCATCAGATAATGTCACAGATCGTCACAAAACCAAAGTTATATATTTTGTCTATACGAACAACTTTCATTAAGTAACCTACAGTCCCAGCTGAATGATAGATGATAAGATGGTGATTGGATCATCAGATGTCGATGCTGATGTTGATTGACAGCGTGGAGTTGGACATGAGGCAAACAGCATATAAAGGCATGGCTAAAGTATGACGTTATTGCCTCTCGTCTTAGGCATCGTAAACACATGGTAGTAGTGTATATCAGTAGAGTAGATTTTGTCTTGTACCCCAGTCTTTGAATTGCATCATCTTTACGATATCTTTTCACGGTGCTTCTTGCTTGCCTTCACTGGCCAACTGGCATCCTCTGAATTGGTGTTGTTTGTGACATGTGACTTGTGATTGTTTCGCCGAAATGTCTGTGGCCGAATCTCATGTGATGTATTACCCGATAGGGAAATTTAGTGTGCCGTAGGGGCGGAAATTTTGAAAATCTTCCAAATTGAGACACTTTGGGACTGAAAAAAGATTGCTGTGACCTATGACCTGCTAAAATATTTCAGCCAAAAAATGCAATGTGACTGTGACAAGCAGAATTGATTAAAATGGGTCAGTACTGGGAATTATTTGACTATTTTATTCAATCAGATCAGGGATCCACACAAAACAGGGGCCCAAAGATGGGAAAAGTGGTGTCAAAAGTGGCCAGCCAATTGGATCCAAATTAAGGCCGCGGATTTCCGCACACGTGACTCGGAAGTTACCAAATAAGGTAGTTTCCAGGTCACGTGCACAGAAATCAGGGCCTGTGATTTCCGTAAGAATCGACCCTGTTTGTATGCTTTCTCCTGGTCTAGAGCGATGATCGCCCCATTCTGCAGGTCATCTTCATCGTATTCCACCCTGAAGAAGAAGAAGAATATATTCCCACAATTTCCTCTGAGGAGAGTGTGGTCTCGTACCTACACACCAGCGCCCCCAGATCTGTCACAAACAAGTCCAGTGTTGGGACACCTTTCCCCCCCAAAAACCCCAATGTGAATTGGCAATTTGGGCTGGATTACCACTTTTTGATGAAATCAAAAGTTGCCCAAAATCTTTGGAAAAATAAATAAAATTATTGTCTGCTGTTCCACTGAATGATGTACCATGATACTAGACCGCAAGAAAGGCAATCAATCAGTGATACTATTTTTTTGCAGCTTTCTATATAAAGTGGAACACAATCATTTGTCCACTGCACACCAAGCCACTTACTGGCACTGGACAAGAGAGCTGCTGGATTCCCCAACTTTGGTTTCTCTTCTCCTCCCTTTGAGTTTGGCAGTCCCGCTAGTTCATCATTGATATCGATATCTCCTGTGCCTCCAACTGCCAGTGGTTCCGAGTCCGCCGATACTATATTGAGCAGTGGAATACCGCAAACTAGATCGGTGCTGCCACCAACCTCAGCATCACAGAGCCCCAGTTAAACTTCTACGCGGGTGGCTGTCTCTTCTTCATCTGCTCTGGCGCAATCGCCGATGGTCAGTTCGAGTGCTCCTGACGCTTCCGCAGGTGCACCACGAACCAATGTGATCATCGGCATCGTGATTGGGGCCGCCGTCGTATTATGCCTCAGTCTGCTTGCTGGGGGCCTGCTACTCCGACGCCGGGCGGCGCCCGCTACGGGCCTGTGGGCGAGGTGTGGAACGACCGGCGAACCACGACCACCAGGGGGGAGGTTGTGCTGGCAGCACAGGGGGGAGGCAGCAGCACAGCCGCCGCCCAGGAGGTGGTCGAGCGGCAGCGATCGCTCTTTCAGAAATATCGCACTGGCAGGGCCAACAACAACTCGCGATCTACACCGGCCCAATCAGCGCTGGTCTTGGAGCTGATGGAGATGCGTGCGCAGATGATGATCATGGAGGCACAGATGAACACGACGAGGGCCCTGGAAGAGCCAGGACGGGATCATGATGTCTCCCCGCCGGCATACGAACAGTGATGAATTTGTGCGGGAGGGGAATTTTGTTAGGTTGCATGGCGGCGATAGCAGCATGGGGGACGCACAACACATGGAGAAGTAGAGACTCCAAATGATGAATGGAGAGGGTCAGGACTTCGCATGCGTGATGTCCGAGATCATGGGAAGTGTAAGGGCAACCCCGGAGGCCTGAGATCAAGGTCCTAGCAGGGGAGGATCCAAAGAGTGAACATTGGTAAGCGAATACAAATGAAGCTGACCTAGCAGGGGAGGATCCAAAGAGAAGAAACTCTAAGGGTCCGCCTGCTAGGTAGCTGACTATATACTGCTTGTCCGTAGCTGCCGCTGTCGGGCACAGAAGGCTTGGGCGGCGTCGCAGGCGAGGTCCCAGGGCGACCGTCAGGAGGGCGTTGACGGATCGGTGATTGTGCGGGCAAGATGGAGGGCCGGACCGGAGTCGGAACCGGAGTCGGACCGGAATCGGGCGCGTCTCCGGGCCGAAAGGGAGGTTCCCCTGACATCACCCCCCCCTTTGAATGCGGCGTCTCGACGCATAGACCGGAACGGAATCGAGTCGAAGGTCGCGGAGGCGATGTGTCGTGGCTTGCCAGGGTACTTACGATAGAACTCCGCAATTTTCTCCGGGGCGAAGACGCGGTCGAAGCGGACCCACTGGTCGTGCGATGCGAGGTCCGAAGGGGGCTGGTCGTAGCCGGGGCGTCCGTCGAAGGGGTCGTCCTGGGCGAGCTCGAGCTTGACGACGGGGAAGACCGGGTGGAGCTTCGAGTAGCGCGGAGGGAGGTCGAGCTTGTAGGCACCTTTGCTGATCTCCACGACTATCTTGAACGGTCCGAGGCGGCGATGAGAGAACTTTTCCGAGGGGCGAGTCGTCCTGATGTCAGAGGCATCCAGCCAAACACGGTCGCCAACCTTAAACTCCGGAGACGGAGTGTGTCTCCGGTCGTAGTAGCGCTTGTACTCCTCTTTGGCCTTAGTGAGCACGGCCTTGGCTTCAGCAACACCAGTGGCAATCCAGTCGCGGAACTCGTTCACCGACTCCATGGCGGAATGGACTCCGGGTTCGAAGCCCATGCGCGGGAGCCGTCCCGTGTCCGTCATGAAGGGGACCTGCTGCGTGGAGGAGTGAACATGGTTGTTGTAGGCGAACTCCGCGGCTGGGATCAGCTCATCCCAGTCGTCCTGCTGATAGTTGGTGAAGATCCGCAAGTACTGCTCTAACTCCTGGTTGACGCGCTCTGTCTGATGCGGGTGGTACGCGGTGGACGTGGCAGGCTTGATGCCGATTAGACGCCAGAGTTCTTGGGTGAAGTCCGCGATGAACTGTGAGCCACGGTCGGAGACGTACTTCTCCGGAGTCCCATGGTGCCGCCAGACATTCCGGTAGTAGAGGCGGGCTGCCCCTACTATAGTCTGAGATGCATGACTTCTGAGGACTACCACCAACTTGTTACCAGAATCCTGTGGCGATCGCGCCGTTTTACGCCCAAGGGCGCTTGTTGCACTCCTCGGTCCACTTCGCAATGCCCAACGGTCCGATTGAAATCGCTATTCTTCAAGTTGTCGCTCGCAGAGATTTTACTACTAACCGTGCTTCCAAGAATACAGACAAGAAAACGGGCTCACCCAACCTCAGCAAGGACAAGAGGAAAGATGGGGAGAAAAGAGGCGAAGATTTGGTGCGTTTTGTGGCTGTTGCAGATGCACGAAAAACTCACTTCCACTTCCTAGTCTGAAGAAGACCAGCAGTTCAGCTTGGAGAGACTAGCAGGGCGGCTGAATGTACGTGCAGCATCTCCATGCAATCTCTCACTGGCTAATGAAGTTAGGAATCCAATGCTGACCTCTATAAACCGGCGCTGGAAATCCTTCGATTTCTCATTCGGACATCTACATCCTCGATAGCCTCCGTTCCGAAACCACTCAAGGTTCTGCACCCGTTGTACCCCGACCTTCAAGCGCTCTACGAAACATGGGAGCCATCCGAAAACAAGGTAGATTTCGCGCTTTCTTTCACGTTCAGAATCTGAATCGTCATCTAGTCTTTATTCGCAGACATCTTATGGGTCTTAGTTATGGCTTATTCGGACACGCAACCGCGAGGCACTCTTTGTTTTTGTTTACTGGCAGCAAAAATGCGCCCAACAGTCTCGCCGCTTTCCGACCTTGGATCACGGAGGCACGAATACGTTCGACATCTTGCTGGTGAACTCGGTAACGAAGACAACACTCGTGAACAAGAAGATAACGAAGTCGAACCAGTCAAGGGCTCATTGCCAGTGCTCAAAGTTCCTGGCACAATTGACGACCTTCGTGCTCTCGCGAAAGAGTGTGCTGTATTCCTTCTCGACCATAACGGGGAACCGGACGCTATCGATCTTCTTCAAGAGTTGGAGATAGTAGAGGAATCAATCGTTCTTGTCGACAAGAATACATATACGCGCGTTTGCCAATACTTCATTGGGTATGTGATCTATTTACTCGGCTTATTTATTGCGCTAACCTAGGTCTAGTTGTGTCAATTTACTTCCACCCTCGGATGACATTGCTTTCCTTCGGCCCGCTCACGCGATCTATGTGCGACAAAGCAAGTTCCCAGAAACTCTGGCCCTCGCAATACGACTGGGAGATCAAAACCTCATTCAACAGGATTTCAATACTCCCTCTAACCCGTGCGTCCACTCTTTCACCTAGCTTGCCATTCTATCCACAACTTCAGATGGATGATGATACAACTCGCTTCTATCCTTGCGCGAGCGCAATTATCCATCAAGTGGCTGCGTGCCAACCCGGACAACGACATCGACATAGAGGACGAGTTTCCCGAACACATCCGACAATGTCTCAACAACATACACATCTGCGTGAATTCGGGAAAGAACTCGGTGTTACAGATGCGAAGAGCGACGAAGAAGCATTTTGAAAACACAAGTATGCATTCACTCCCTTGACTGCAATTTTGCTGATGTGAAGCCAGGGCCAAACGCGCTTGCCAACGTCGATTCAGCGCGTGGTAACTTGGCTGGCTCGTTCGTCAACGCATTGGTCAATGCTAGGTATGATAATAAGCTGATGGTCGAAGCGGAAGAGGGCAATTCCCAGGTGTATAAGAATAAGGCGCACGGTATGTCATGAACTTCCAATGCCCCGGGAGGGCTCAACTTATTCTAGGCAAGCTGAGCGCCGCCGCATCTCTAAGCATCAGTCTCTTATGGGACACCGAAGTTGACCTCTCTCACATCGACAAATATGCCTACTCCTCTGAGGAGTACATCAAAGCTGGCTCACTTTTGGCTACCGGAACCCTCAACAGCGGTGTTAGAACTGAAGCCGACGTCGCGAAGGATTTGATCAGGGAGTGTGTTGACAACAAATTCATTCCTCTCAAGACTAGCGCCATCGTTGTGCTTGGCCTGGCCTATGCAGGAGCTCATCGTCAAGACCTGTTGGAGCTATTGCTGCAATTGAGACTGCTGATGAATGGATCCAATTCCTTAAATGCAACAATCAAGCCGACCTCTTAATATCGCGAAATACCAAGGTTTTTTCTAACACACTCATTGTTTTGGAATCTAACGCCGACTTTGGATGTTTTAGAAGCTGTTCGAAAAACATGGACGCGCTCGAGGGTTTGAAGGAGGCGCTTTTCATGGACTCGGCCGTTGAGAGGCTTATGGTTTTGTAATCAAGTTTCAAGTCGAAGTATGGACAATCTCACCAAGTTATCTGAATTTTCTATTCACGAAGTAGAATACGACAGCCTGAGGTTGAGTACACATGTAGATAGTTCTTTTCATATTCTCACAATACATATCCAGTGTGTGAGCTTCTCAGCATATACCTAACGATAGGTATCGCTTCCCTAATTTCTACCATGAACCTCGGTCTGACTGATAGTTTTTTGGCGGCGACGATCACCCCCATGGGAGTGAGGCTGGATACATTGGGCGTCGTAAGGAAGGGTTATCGTCTTCTGAAAAGAATAAGGCCGTCAGTCGGTCAGAGATAAAGAGACCTACAAGATTGGTCCAATTCGGTATGTGATACTCCAAGGCTTTCTTGACTGTTTCTCGTGGCGAGGGTGGAGTTATTATCGCCAGACCGAGACCGGGGAGAGCGAAGTAATCCAAGTTGGTGGGGTGCGGATCGTCTCGGAGAATTAAAGTCACAGGATTCATGTTGGCGAAACCTGAGCAGAGGGCCTCCACGTCCGTGCTCAACCCCAAGTTCAAGTCCAGCTCTAGAGTCTGGAGGTTGGGACAGAGCTCAAACATCTTTCCAATGTAGGGTCCTCCGCCACCTATAACTCCAAGGTATCGAACGTAACTTCCACGTCCTGTTTCTTCCAACGAGTGAACCAATGAATCGTAGTTCCCTGGCCGAAGGAAGAACTGCATATACAGCCATCTCACACCCACCAGTGACCAGCGTCTGTTGACCAGCATAGCATTCAGCAGCGGTTGTGGAACGTTTCGGATTGGTATCCTTGGGAGGTAAGAAAAGATATTATCCACAACTTCATTTGGGGGTGCGTTCTGCGGCAGAGAGAAAGACAAATCTCGCGTTAGCACCGAGAATCTGCCCAGTTTGTCAGACATTGAGGCCGCAGCCTTGTACTGCAATATACCGTTGTGAGCGACATTGAAAGAGGTTTATCGAAGCACGTGACCATACAGGCCTTTTCCTTCAAAACGCACTATGCATTTCCCTTCAAAACGCACTATGCATTTCCTCTGGACTCAATGAGGCTGGAATCATTAGCAATAATCTTCTAAAGGCGTGCTTTCCTTGGAAAATCCTGTTTACGCAGCAAGGCTTACATTCAACCAGCCATCGCCCAAACTTGGTCTTGCACCACCATTCGATGGACAAGGATGACTTCACCCTTATCCGAACTCAACTCCCTGTAACCTTCCGCATATCTCAACTCGAAGGAATTCGACAACCGCACATTTACAGAGCTGCGCTTTCAATCTTCGTTCGTCATGTAGTTGCCCTCCATTGATCTCTAACCCACCTAAAAGCACCCTTTCAGACCTATATATGTCACTTACCAGCTCATAGCAGACAATAAACTGCTGACTATCCCTTTCCACACGTCATTCAAGGCCTTCAAGAACAGTTACACTTGGAATGCATTTGGAAATGCCGCTTTTACCTTGTGCGGACAAAGGCAGCTTAACCAAGTTCCTCAAATCCGTGGCCTGAAGAGACGCTTCGGAGGTCAAACAAGCTGTTGAAGAGTTGTTACCACAGTGGACCGAAACTGACACCGACGATGCTTTGGAACTTCTGGGACCCAGCACTGTCGACTCTCGTGTTAGGGCATTTGCAGTATGGCAACTGAGTCGAGCGGATGATGAGGTATGTCATCATGTTCTCTACAGACAGACAACAGCTGATCAACCGCGAACAGGAGATGCGTTTATATCAACTGACCAACGATCTTTACGGTCCAAAACAACAAGCGCCATCTCTTACGAGGATAGTGGCCTTACCGACTTCTTAATATCTCGAGGTGTCGCGAATCCTGTTCTGGGCAACCGGTTATACTGGTACCTCATGGTTGAAGTCGCATTGGAAGACCGTGTCATGGGCGAAAAGTATGGAAGAGTCGTCTTCCGTTTTATGGGCAAAATTTTAGAAAGCGAGGGCGGTTCCGACAGGCGGGAGCTGATGCGGAGGCAGCGATTGATGGTGGATTCGCTGGCCAAACGAGCGAAAGAGCTGCGAATGTCCAAAGATCCCCGGCCGAAGAAGATCGACAAACTTCTTGCGATCATCACCGACACAAGGAATAACTTGGCCTCAATGCCCCCATTACCACTTTGCAGTCGAGATAACCGGTATTGTGGCAGAACAGTCCTCGGTCTTCAAGAGCAACATGTTCCCACTTCTGTTGTACTTCCAGTACTCCGCTGGGTCGACCTACCCAGTTCTTCTCAAAGACGGAGACGACATGCGGCAAGATCAACTTGTAATCCAACTTTTCACGCTCATCGACGGGCCGATGCGCAAGGAGAAGCTTGATCTTAAGCTAACACCCTATGATGTTCTGGCGACGGGTCCTCTCCAAGGAATGGTGCGTTTTGTTCCTGGCAAGACCATCGCAGCCATTGTCAGCGAGCACGGGAACTTGCTCGACTATTTGCGAGCGCATAATCCGGATACAGACAGTGTGGGGACTTCTGGAGTCAACCCAACTGTCATCGATACATTCGTGTGGAGCTGTGCAGGCTATTGTGTGGTGACCTACCTGCTCGGAGTTAGTGATCGCCATCTGGACAATCTCTTCGTCAGTCCTGATGGTGACTTCTTCTATGGTGTGTTGTTTGATTTGGGCTTTTCGTTCGCCTTCTGACTTTTTTTAGTCGACTTCGACTACATTCTTGGACGCGATCCCAAACCATTTCCTCTGCCTGTTAAAGTGTGCAAAGAAATGGGCGGCGCGCAGTGGCCACACTACCAGCGCTTCAAGAGCTTCTGCTTCATGGCGTTCACGATGCTGGTCAAGCGCGCTGACCTGATTCTTAACCTCGTCACGCTCATGGTCGACGCCAACATCCCCGACATCAAGCACCGCGATAGGCATGGGCAGATTCATGGCAAGGCGGCCGCAAAAAAGAAGGTCTTGGTCGACAGCAACGATGCGGAGGGTAGCGGCGACCCGTTTGATGGTCCAGTCGCGGGACCAAGTAAGGACAACGACGTGCCAAACCCCAGAGGAAGTAGAAAACCTTAGAGAAGTACTCCAAGGTTTGTGGACTTCAAGCGACTCTGAACTGCGTCTAACCGTCATGGCACCCAGTTGAGCCATATCGACCATATTCTTGTGCGACCCTGTCGTCACGAGAAATTACATATGTCCCCGGTTTTTCCAAGCTTGTCAATAAAATTATAGTGAACGCGGATAACTATGAGGTGTGTTATCATCACTTCCAAATCCTGATCTCACAGCTCTCCTATAGATTTCTAGCCCGCCCGTGGACGCGCTCAAAGTCGAAATTGAGACTGAAGCAGCTAATGCGTGAATTCGTTCTAAACATGAAGCTTTTGTCTTACCCTTAAGCAGAATCGTGTGAAGGAATACCTCGGAAAAATATCGTCCACAGAGAATCCAGACATGCCGTCAACACAACTGGGCAAAGGTGCTGCAACGCGATGATAAGCCGCAGTCTGGGACAGACCAGGAAACGACTATTTTTGTCGATTTTGTTGCTCAGCGCACGTCTCAGAGTTGACATGAGTCCCGAATGGTCAACTAGGGAGTTACCTGCACAAGAACATATCAAAATCCAGTCAAATCCTATCAAATCGCTCATAGTGATTCCAAAGTCTTGACTAGGAAAAGTTCGCAGAGCCCGCTTCTCGCTAGAATCCATCCAATTCTATGCAAAATACCCAAAGGGAGTGTATTCTAAAAGGCATATTCGGTTTGGCGCTCAGTGGAGACTCGAAATCGACAACTCCTAGACTAGGGCCACCCCTATCTCTGTTGGTATCGACGACTGACATCATTGGAACGTGGTTTCGGATCATGCTGGAGGATCGGGAGTGCCAAGGGACGGTTAAACGGTGAAAAACCTACTCAATTGATTGGGGCCTGGACCTGTGATCAACGGCGACTCTAAAACACTGTCGAGGAACTGATCATCTGAACATTGGAAATGCGCCAGGAGAGTTGGGACAACTACCGCTGAGGCCATACGCACAAGATACGAGTTATGGGTGTCAATCGAAAGCTGGGAAGCAGAGCTATCCACTTATCCTACTCAAGATCGAGGGATTCTTCACAAGCAAAACTAGATGGTCGCGAACACGGAAGATTTACACAGGTCATTGACTCCAACACACGCGATACCAGTCATCTGGACCTGGATTTTCGACTCCGGGTCGTATGGCGAAACGATACCTATACAATTATGCACATGGACGACTTTTCTTACTCGAGATTTTCCCTGATTCTATCAATTTCTGTTTAGTATTTATACCTCTGTTTTGTATTTGGCAGGTCCACGGATTGCCCCGCTCTACTAGGTGCATCTGGGGATCTAGCTCGTCAATTTATCTTGCTAGCTCTTTCGAAATAGTATCATCGCGTCGAAGGATTATTGGTTGAGGGTTTCGGTTGCCGTTTAAAAGAGAGTTCCGGTTGCTGTTTATTGGGTTTCGGTTGCTGGTCGAGAGTTTAAGGCAGTTAGTTCCTGACTCGAGACAACTCAGAGGGTTTAAGGCAGTTAGTCCTGATCCAACGAGTATAAACTCTCCGGGCATCGTATTGGCGCTTCTCTATTGCTGAGTTTCGTCGATAGTACGCTTTGGGGCACAACAAATCAACGTTTTTCGCAAGAAACTCGTATCAACCCTACAACCTTACACATTTGTGCCAAGGCTCTGTTCACAGGGGTCTGTTCTCGCACAAGGAGTCGACGATATTTTGGGTTTTGTGACTTTCCCTACTCGACATTATACAACTTTCTCTCTATCTCAAGTGGAGTTTTGGTTGTTTTTGTTAGTTTGGTTAGTTAGAGGCTCATTTGCTTTGTCCCCACTCCGCACTCATCATCTGGAGCCCACCGCGAGGGGTGATCGAGTATTGCTGAAACTTGGTTTCGTGCAATTTGTGACAAGCAAGAAGAAAAGCAAGCGCCCACACGCTTGGATCGAACGTCAAAATACCACCAAAAGGGAAACAGCGAGATCTAACTGATTCCCAACCGAACGATTTTCCGAATCTACTACGGGAGTTGGAGAACTGAGACCGACACCGTTATTCGTACCAAAAACTATCTGCGAACGCGAAACCGAGGACTACCCGTAACTCGCAAAGGCGATCGAAATCGGACAATCCCGACAAAATCGACAAAATCTCAAGCATCTTCGTCGAAAAGACCGACTCAAGCATCAACACAAAAGCGCGTTCAATCGAAATCTACAACAAAGCGCAAAACCAACACAAACTCAGCGACTGTCGAAGAAGAACAACAATCTCCGACACCATCTTCGCCTCTAACCGACTTATCAGAGAGCGAAATCAACACGAATCGGCTTAACGAACCTCCGATTCAACAAAACAACGAAAAACATGGACGATGGAAATGGTGGAAATGGCGGGAACGGAGGTGGCGCGGGTGGCGCAGGTGGAAACGGAGGTGGTGGAGGAAGAAACGCTCAAGGAGGAGCAGCGGTGCGGTTCAAGGTGCCTGAAACATGGGATTCTGGTCGTCCTAGCTTCGATGGAAAGACTCCTGCCAAGTTGGAGAAGTTCCTAGAGGAGTGCGAGCGAATCATCGTGCAGGGAGGCATCGACAACGACGCGGAAAAGAAGGAGACGGTGCTGAGGTATCTCGATACTAAGCATGTGAAGGAAGCGTGGCGGAATCTGACAGCGTTTGCTGGAGGAGACTTCGATGGGTGGAAGGCGGAGATACTGAAGATGTATCCAGAGTTGGAGGAGGTCAACGAAGGATCGAGGAGACGCTTGAAGGAAATTTGCGCCGAGGCACGGGGTGCTAGTCGTGAAGATCTGGGTCTAGTGATTCGATTTTGTGCATTCTTTTTGGCAGAATCCGAAAAACTCCTCAGACCACCATCGCAAATCACCAACAAAGAGTTGGTATCGTCGATTCTTGGTACGCTCAGCGATGATTTTGCTTCGGCAGTCGAAGTTGTGTTGAACCAACCGAATGTGGCAAATATCTTGGGTCCGAACGCGAATGCGGGAAACCAAAACGCGGGAAATACTCGAAGAGGCGATAAGTGGAACTACAAGGACGTCTTGAAGGTGGTGGAATGGTTGACGAACAATTGGTCTGGACGGGAGGCAGATGCGATGATGAGAAACGACTCGAAACCCTCGAACTTGCTCTCGAGCTCGAAAAGCGGAAACTCTACGAACGATATTAGAGTGAAAAACGAGTTTCGTGATCAAATGGAGAGTTTCGCCTTAGAGATAAACGCGTTGAAGGACGTTATGGCCGTTAGGGATAAGCAACTCATCGAGACGATGAAGCAGTTCCATCAGGCTACAGAAAATAAGTCCAAGGAGCATGCGCACCCTCAATCGGGACCGCCGCAACGCGATTATCAACAAGGAGGAAGTCGTGGGTATGGAGGACAACAGAGTGGAGGGGACCAGTGTCATTTCTGTGAAGAAACTGGACACATGGTGCGAGATTGCCCAAAGAAGAGGATGTTGTTGGACCAAGGGAAGATCGTTATGGAGAATGGAGGCTTGCGCCTACCAGGAGGTCAATATATTCCTAAGTATCCTGAGAATGTCTCGAGGTATCAACGAATTCTCGACTGGTATGGCAAAGGCGGAGGGAATATTGTGTCAGGAAATGCGCAGACGAACCTTCAGTCGTCGTTCTACAACGAATATACTCCCAGCGAGCAGTATAATTTGCTGTATGACACGAATGAGGACGAAATCCGTTCATTGAGGGCGCAAATGGCTGCTATGACTAGGCAATATCAATCGAATAATGTCTCAGCTCATGAACCAGCAAGATTCTCGAACCAGCCGGGGCGATCCAATCGTTTCCACAAATCCTACAACGAGATTCAGCGTCGCAGCAAGGGATAGGAGGTAGACAACAGCAGAGAATGGGGGAGACGGGGCAAAAGAGTGAAGCGTACCCTGTGTACCTTCAAGGGCCTGTTCAACCAGGCTTGCCCCCGGTCGATCCGAACTTTCAACAGTTCATGACGATGTACAATATGGTTCAGGCCATGCAGAACCAATCTGGATCCAGTTCGCAGTCCGCGAATCAGTCGATGGAGTCCCAATTTGCGAATACGCGTTCGGGAAAAGACTCTAACGCTGGGGAGGGACGAAATTTTTAGATAGTTCGAGGAAGGAGACAGGGAGCTGGCGAAAGAAAGCTCCTGAGGCAACGAAATCTCCTGAGAACCGATCGAAAGTTGCGAATAAGGAAAAGGAATCGTCGAAAAAGAAGGAAGATCGAAGGAAAAAGGATGATCCTGTCGAGTCTTCAAGTGAGGAGGAAGAATCTGAGCCGGAGGTGCTGGAGAAAGAGGATGTGCCGAAGAAGAAATGCAAAGCTCGATTCAGAGGAGAAGATTCTGAGGACGAAAAGTTGGAATATGCTGCCAGGATGGTACCCAGTTCGGAATCGCCCAAGCGCGAGGCGAATAGGAAGCGAGATGTAGAAGAGAGGGCGTATAAGTTGGCGACGAAGTTCGACGACCCGCATATAATTAAGCGAATTGTGGAAAAGACAGAAAATACAGTCGTGCACGATGTTACTGTGGGCGATTTGATCTCTCTTTCTCCAGAGTACGCGAAAGCGATGCGGAAATCGACGAATCGGACTCGACAACCTATAAAGCCAGTCTTGTTACATGGGAAATTGGATGAAGGATCGGAATACCCGTTCATGGAAGATGAGAACGTTGAAGTTCGACTCCAAAATGACGCGGTAGACATCGACGAATTGCCAATGGTGGACTCGTTCTACATTTCTACTGAAGAGGATAAGCAATACGGAATAAGGGAAGGCTCATACGTGAGTGCCGACCCATATCTCCAGTATGTGGCTTCTCTCCCACCGGGAGAACCGCCCAAGCAAGTCTTCTCAGGGAAAGATTCGGGCGTCGTTGAGGGTTGTGTGGCCGTTAATCGCTGCGCGAGAGCGTGTGGAGTGTGTTATTGACAGTGGATCGCAAATTGTGTCGATGGCATTGTCGGTAGCGGAAAGATTGGGAATTCCTTGGGATCCTGACTTGCAAATCTACATGCAAAGTGCGAATGGGCAACTGAAGAAGTCTGCTGGGTTAGCAAGAAATGTATGCTTCTTGTTTGGAGACATACCCGTCTATCTGCAAGTGCATATCATCGACCAAGTGGCTTATGAAGTTTTGCTCGGACGACCTTTCGATCTAGTAACGGAATCCAAGTTAGAAAACTTGGGAATGGGAACCAAATGCTCACGATTCTGATCCTAACCGAGAGCGAAGGTGTGTGATACCGACTCAGGCAAGGGGAACTTATTCTGTGGTGTCGAAC